ATGAAAAAGAAGACGTTGACACCTTCTCAGAATGGATTAAATGTATCAGATCCATGTTAAAGTCCCGTATTAAAAGATTGAGGGGGAATATGAAAACCATATATCCTTCTGTGTTCAATAAACCAGAAGTGAAAAAGGAGTTAGATAGATTACACGATCAGTACGTACTGGTTCCCGCGGACAAAGCAGGTAAAAACATTGTCTTCGTTTGTAAGGCTCATTATATAAATTGCATTCTAGAAGAATTTGGATTTAATTCTGCAAGTGGTTATCCTACTTATACTCATACTTCCCTTTCTAAGGAAGAAATTCTCCAAAATCACCTGTCGGTTTTGAATACTTTTAATATTCCACAGAGCCAAAATGAATTTGAACTACCTTATATATATTGGATTCCAAAACTTCATAAGAATCCTTACAAACAAAGACACATTGCAGGTTCCAGAAAATGTTAAACCAACATTCTTTCGTTACTCTTCACTAAGATATTGACAGTAGTGAAGGAAAAACTTCAAGAGTACTGTGCAACTATATATTCAAGAAGTGGTGTGAATCAGATGTTGATACTAAAAAATTCTAAAGAACTTTTGGACACTTTGAAATCACAAGACTTTACAAAAATCAACTGCTTAAAAACTTACGACTTTTCAACTTTATACACAACAATTCCCCACGACAAATTGAAATCCAAGCTTTTTAATATCATTGATAGCTGCTTCTTCAATAAAAATGGAACTCGTAAATTTACGTACCTCGTCATTGGTCATTTGCAAAATTATTTTGATAAAACAGATTCTGATTGCACACATAAGTACTCTGAAGTTGACATCAAGAAGATGCTTGAGTTTCTGATTGACAACATCTATGTGGTTTTTAGAGACCAGGTATTCCAACAATCTAATGGAATTCCCATGGGTACAAATTGCGCTCCGTTATCAGCAGACTTATTTTTGTATTCATATAAAGCAGAATTTATGCAAAATCTTATGCATGAAAAGAAGAAATTACTTGTTGTGGCCTTCAACTCGACATTTAGATATATCGACGACGTATTGTCCATTAGTAATGGTAATTTCCATTCCTACGTCGACACGATATATCCTGGTGAGCTTGAGATAAATGATACAACAGAGTCCGACACATCTGTTTCATACTTGGATATTTTACTTGAAAAAGACACTAATGGTAATCTAACAACGAAGCTTTATGATAAACGTGATGACTAACTTTTCTATCGTCAACTTCTCTTACGTATGCAGCAATATACCTTCATCACCTGCATACGGAGTATAAATATCTCAGTTGATTCGATACGCAAGAGCATGCTCTACGTATGAACAATTTCTAAAACGAGGTAAATTATTGACAAGCAAGTTGACGAAACAAGAATATCAGCAATCTCGTTTAAAATCATCATTTCGTAAGTTCTTTGCAATTGGTCGATACAATGACCTTGTCAGCAAATACAGTTTATCATTAAGTCAAATGCTGACTGACGTTTTTCATACTATTATTAGTCCATTATTTACACACTGAATTGACGACGGATTTTTCCGTTATTTCTTGATCATGACAAGGAGCACACGGCGGGTGTGACCGGTCGGCAGGGGATGCTCACTCCTCCATGGCACCTGATCCCACCTCGGATATTTCGGGGGTCCGTGTTTGCTCTGCTCTTATTTTGTATTGTTTTATGGACTTTGAGATTGAAGAATACTGTTCGTTATCTCCATATCCTTCTTCATGGCAAACGCTATTGTTTTCAAAAAAGAAAAAAGTTGTTTTTTTTTTTTTTTGTTTTTTTTTTTTTTTAATCAATGACGCATATAAGTATATTCAAAATGTTACATATCATTTTACGATAATGGTTTGCATGGACTTCTCGAAAGTTTTAATCCGATTTAAAGTAGCACAGGACATTGGGATGTTTGCAAAAATAGACGGATATTTATTATTGTGTAAAAACGCAAGGTTGGGATTAGAATTGCCGTTTATTGATAAATAAATGACGAAGCAACCAAATTATGTCAACACATGTTATAATTGACAATACGAAACGAAATTAATAACATTATGTAACAGAAATTGATACGTATTTTTATTACTCCTACTACGATGAGGTAAAAGGACTTGAAGTTGGCATATCAATTGCATTACACGAAAAAGAATTCTGTTAGATATTTAATCTTTTGATTATATTGTTACATTTTATTCTATGCTTTGAGACATGTTACCTAGGTATATATTAAAGCATACTAAATTAACAAAAATTAATAGATAATTTTCTGAAAACTATTTATTTGAAATCTTTATCATAGATCATATAATATCAATATATTTAATTCCACGTATTTTTTTTTCTTAAACAACTCCTTGAGAAATAAAACTGACATGAATATTATTTAGCTGTTTTAAAAAATCGTTTTCAGCAAATAAAGATCTTTAAAATGCAAATTCAAATATAATCTTCAATATACATCTTAATATTAATTCTAGGATGCATATCAAAATGAGGAACAATAAAATATTGATATGTATAATGTATTATATACAACTTATATAAATTTAGAAACACGGCCTTGTAAATTTAGAGCCTTTGCATAGAGCAGCACCTTTTATTAAGAAATATACAGATATTAGTAATTTGTTCACTGTAAAATGTGATTTTTCGTTCATTCCTTTGTTCCTTTTTTTGTTTCTTTGAAAATCTGTCACTCAAAGAAATAAACTAACACAATATAATGTATAAATAAAAAATAATGAAAGTAATTAAAAATATGTTTTCACTTTATCAGAGATAGTCGTCCTACAAATGGGGCAGGACTGTAATTGATCTGCACATGCTTGACACGTGGCCAGATGACCACATGGTCGGAATGTGACCATTACTTGAGAACTAAGACAGACTTTACAGAGTAACTGATTTCTAATTCTATCCGCGTCTTCAGTCAATGTCTGTACTTCATGACTAAGAAACTCACAATCTGGCGATGAACGTGAGTGTATTTCTGTTGGGTCGTCATTCATGTCCATGGACATAACAGCTCCACAATGGAAACATTGCACTTTGTTTTCAAAACCTAAAGTATTGCAACATAAGTTTTAGAAAACATTAAAAAATTGTTAAAGTAATGAAGTTAAATATGCTATCATTTCAATTTCAAAGTTAAGATTTGTGTGATGCTTCAATTATCATTATATCGCATAAATGAAGGACTCTTATCGACATCTACCAATGATTCGAACTTGTAAATTCAATCATCACTTTTTTCAAACGTTAAATATAAGCAAACATTGAAAGTTTTTATATGTGTTATAGAAATTAAGAGAATTGGAATAAAATCCAAACCTTTATAGTACATTCCAGATTTTGCAAGTTCTGAAACCATTTGTTTCAAAGAAGTTTTACAGTCTTGATAGGACGCAGTCCGTAATGATTCCAATGCGTATTCGGGATGTCGAGCAGTGGAAATTAATTTTTTAACGCTGTGGGGAGGTTCACGGGGACGATTTTCCAACTCAAACTTTTTTCTCATCAGAAACACGTGCCAACACATTGCATTGTCTTTAAAATGTTGTTCCAGAGCATTGTCCACTTCAGACCAATTGTCTCTTTGAACACCACACGCGAAACAAGAAGTTTTAGTGTTGTAACCTGAAAGCGAAATATCATTTTGCAGTATTCTAAATAAAGAGTTTCCTTGTTATCTATATCAAAAGGTTTTGATATATTACTTCGATATTTCTTTTAATTTTGAGACCTTAATTTATTTTATTTCACATCTTACATGTAATGAAGAAGGATTTTTGCACATAGTTTTACTAATAGATTTTTATGAAGTTCCAATTACATTTTACATATCTTAATAAAATATGCTCTGTCCATGGATTTCAGTGTAAATTTTAAGGTGCAATTATTTTGACAATACGGTAATCATAATATTTTCCCAAGGTTTAGCTCCTTTTTTCGCAAAACACAATACTTACAAGATCTCGATTCATTCTTTTATGATCATTATATATATACTGAATACTTAAAAAACAATAAAAATGCAGAAAGGATATTTATATATAATTATTTTCTCCACTCTATAAATCTGATGCATTTATCTCAGTTGCAGTTGAAGACTGTTTTCTTCAAATAAGCTTCATTATTAATTACTCAGAAGCTTGCTTATTTAGAGTTTGTATAGATCGAACGGTCTACTAGCACATATAGCAAATACTATTATGCTACAGTAAATGGAAACCAAAATATATATACTAAAATTTGTTGGAAGACAGTTAAATATCTGTTTTGAACAATAAGCATCAATCTGATTTCAAAAATGTAACATGGAAGTTTAAAAAATATTTTCCATAGAACCTAAATTAAGTTCAAGCTACGCTGAATTGACGATTTACTTCCTATTTAATACAGATTATATTTACTTGGAAATGTAGAAGATTTATATTACAATATCACACTTTAAAATATCCTCCATTGAATACTTACATTAAAAAGAACATTCTGACTTTAAGTTTCGATTCAATTTTCAAATACAAACCTTCATAATAATATCCGGCATTGGATAAAACAATCGCCATTTTACGAAGCTCAAGGGGAGCGTCATTGAACGACAGTAATCTCGTTTTGTCGTCCCTGTATGCTGGGTACCGGGTATTTAATGGCGGTCCAGCACCAGAGGAACACTTTAAACTATAATCCTGATAGTTACACTGTGGTTGTTCTAAGCAATACATTCTTCTAATGTTTATGTTCGTGATATCTGTACCTCTATTTCTAGTTTAAATATACAATAGTGACAAAGGATGTATTTTTAAAAAGATTACGTAATTCGATACTTGACTACATTAAAAAAACACCATGTGAAAGTTTGCTTGGTTTTATATTCAGAAAAATTATACTAATGTTAAAAACAAATATTACATCAGGGGAAAAAAATAAGACTTATATAAGAACTAAATACACACAAAGTGGAAGCTAAGTCTTAGTACGATTATATTAGAAAAAAAAGTTTTCCAAATAATAAAAAAAAATGAAACTTTCAGTGCTATTTTTTGCAATATTCTTCGTTTTCATGATATAGTTGTATTGAAAATACTGAACAATTGTTAAGCCGTACGAAAAATAAATCACCAGAAATTATTTTTCCCTTGCTTTGTACACCATTTTAACCAATGATCGAATGAAATAAGACATAGAATAATAATCAAGTCCAACGTTCATTGAAACAAAACAATCTGAGAGAAAAGCAAACAAGGACTTTAAAAACATCACATGTGGAATCAGGAGCAATGGATGAGTAAAAATCCCCTGTCAGCAAATCACACATGTAATGTTCACCTTGTCATGATAAATAACTTAAAATGGAAACATCATACATTCTCCGCCAAAAGAAGAGACACGAAGCTCATATGTAGTCCAAAGGCTAAATAATTTAACTCTAAATACTTTAACTCTACAGTGATAACCCCTTTTTAAAATTAACTCTAGTATTTTTAACATTATTCTTCACACATTCTTAGAAGTAAAGAGTTGAACTTGCTCAATAGCTTCAAATATGCATGTATAATTCAACAGCAACCTTTTCTTCACTGAAAATAAAATATTAAACCTATATGATATAAGAATTTATATGTGGGTATTAGAGACGACAGAGTCTGTATATCATATTTTAGCAATAAAGGCTGACTCATAGTTTATCCACTATCGATCTCAACTCTATAGATAATCATACCTTGGTTTTTTGTGATGTGATGTCACCAATGAGATTGATGAGGACACCTTTTAAATATTGTTTTAGACAGAATCCGATAATACGATATGTGGCGGCTCCATAGTACTAATCGTTTAAGGTCCTAAATGCAGGGAACCCCGATCCTACAATTTCATAGTTATTTTGGATTTCTATAGAAGATTACGCTAGGCGAAGGGTCAGATATGAAAAAGAAGACGTTGACACTTTGTCAGAATGAATTAAATGTCAGAACCATGTTAAAATCGCGTATTAAAAGATTGAGGGGCAATATGAAAGCCATCTATCCTTCTTATTCAACAGTATTACACAGAAAAGTAAAAAGAATTTGGTTACATGATCATTATGTACTGGTTCCCGCTGACAAAGCAGGTAACAACATATTCTTTTTCTATGGTTAATTATATAAATTGTATTTTAGAAGAAATTGGATTTAATTCTACAAGTGGTATTTCAACTTATTCCCATAGTTCCCTTTCTGCGGAAGAACTTTTTAAAAATCAGTTCTGGATATTTTTAAAATCACGAAGAACCAATATGAATTTGAACTACCATACCTATATTGGATTCTTAAACTTCACAAAAATCGTTACAATAAAAATACATAGCGCAGTAAATGCTAAACCAAGCATTTTTCATTGCTTTTCACTACGATATTAACAGTAGCGAAGGAAAAACTTCAAGTGTACCGTTCAACAATATATTCAAGAAGTGTGCATACTTAAAAATTCCAAGGAACTTTTGAACAATTTGAAATCACAAGGTTTAATCAAATTCAACAGCTTAAAAACTAATGACTGAACTTTTTATCGCACCTTTTACTTCCTTTTTTGTATATTTAGATACATGTATAATTAATACTTTACTATAACTCCCAGATGATCAGTTTCAACTGGAATTTTTTGACATTTTTATTGTTTATTATGTCTAACTAAGTTATTGTAATAAAAAGAAAAAATATTGTGATTTGTGGTTTTACAAAGCAGATACAGAGCTTAAAATTCTACAAAATGTAAACAATGTTCGTTCGTTTTTTTATTTAGAAAAACCTAAAATTCTCCAATTGTATTTAGAATTAACTTGTATATTGAAAAATAAGTATAATGCCATCCTGTAAATGCAAGAATCACCAGAATAAGACTGGAAAAAAAACATTTACAAACATTTATAATACAGGTTTATGTCCCTACAAATGAAGCAGAAAATGAGATTATAGAGGAATTCTATGGGGCACTACAGTCCGAATTTCAAAAAGTTCCAAAGCAAGATCTGACGATCATCATGGGAGATCTCAATGCGAAAGTTGGAAGCGATAATATTGGTCATGAAAGAGTTATTGGGAGGAATGGCTGTGGAGGTATGGATAAGAACGGTAAATGCTTTACGGAATTCTGTGGAGATAACAACTTGGTCATTGGTGGAACACTGTTCCAACATAAGGAGATACACAAACTCACATGGGTGTCACCTGGAGGGAGAGATAAAAACCAAATTGACCACACTGCCATCAATGGAAAAGATCTTTACAGGATGTAAGAGTGAAGCGTGGGGCCGATGTTAGAAGTGATCATGGCCTTGTTACTGCCAGTATAAAGCTCAACTTGATGAAAGTAGCGCCAAAAAACAACATTAGGCGAATAGAGACAGTATCTGCACGCATTTAAAAAATAAAGTGTTTGGGAAACCAATGAAGGATATAATTGATTGATTGTATATAGTTTGACGTCCCTCTCGAGAATTTTTTCACTCATATGGAGACGCCATCACTTGCCAGTGGAGAGCTGCATTTTTTTCCTATGCTCGGCACTGATGGCAATTGAGCGGGGAGGGATCTTTTTCGTGCCAGCACCTACTGCGACACGGAACCTCGGTTTATACGGTCTCATCCAAAGGACTAGTCCCCACGTCCCACAGTGGGATTCTTACTTTGCGATTCTAGAGCAGACGCTCTAACCACTGCGCCATACGGGCGACTTAAAGTTGACTGGAAGGGGAAAAAACAAACATGCCTGTGAAAGACAAGCAAGGCAACATCATTACATCCGAAAGAGAACAAGATGAAAGATGGAGAGAACATTTCGAAGAAGTGTTGAATCGCCGGAAGAATAACAGTTTGTTAGGCACACATACCGAAAGCTGACACTGATTTAGAAACTGAAACAGAGGAACCATCTAAAGCTGAAATATACAAAGCAATAACAGCCCTAAAAACAACAAAGCACCTGGAAATGACCAACTGCCAGCAGAGTTATTTAAAGCAGATCCAACCCTTGCAGCAGACATTTTACACTCATTATTCACCAAGATCTGGAATACCTACGATATGGTCCAAAGGAAGTACTAGTATAATTAAGGATATCCGATCCTCAGCCAGGAAGGATAACTCCAAGAATTAATATTTAATTTAAAATGCATCAAAATTAAGCTCGAAAATGAAAATTTTTCATGCAACAATTTTCATTTTATTCATCTTATAAGATTCAAGGCTTTTGGAAGTTTTAGAAAAGGTCTTATAAAAGTTGACATTTGTACCCAGTAAAAGGAAAAAAATTAATACAGTTCTAAAGAAATAAGATTTTCTTGAATCGATGCTTAGATTCCGATGCTTATTAGCATGATATTAAACAAGTGGTGATTTGTGATGTCTTGCAATGATAGCAAAAGCCTTTTAAACTATGTATTTTAGAATACATGACGGAAATAAAAGACAAGAAATACCAAATAAGTATAAAAATCATGACAGTTTCTCTGAATGCCTGCATAAAATATATTTGTTGATCAAAATGCAATAAAAAAATGCATTGCTATTATTCCAATTCGCCTTTTCTGCAAAAGTATTGGAGATTTGACAATTTTCCCTATATAATATGATTAACTTTAATCTTTAACTTTAAAGAAATACTGTGGATAAATTTACATAACTTTGTGGATTCAGAGATAATTTTATGAGTATTTTTGATTACTTAACTGCTGATTTTATAAACTTGAGGATCGGACTACCTTAAAGTGTAAAAAAAATACAGATCTTTCTAACTGTAATAACTGGAGGGGTATCACCTTACTATCAATACCTAGTAAGATCGTCAGCAGCTTAATAATCGACAGAATTAAAACTGCAATAGATGCCAAAATAAGAAAAGAGCAAGCAGGTTTTAGGAAAGGAAAAATCTGTTGCGACCAGGTGTTTAACGACAACGACAGCTTATAATAAACTTTATAGATTTTGAAAAAACCTTTAACAGTATCCACAGAGAAAGCTTATGGAAGATCTTCAGACATTATGGAATACCATCAAAGATAGTAGAACTGATAAAAGCATTTTACTTGGAGTTGAATTGCTCTATCGGCAGCTTATCAGATGCATGCTTCATTGTAAAATTTGGCGTGAGGCAGGGATGTGTGATGTTGACTCTCTTTTTTATACTAGGAATTGATCATGACTGGGTAATGAAATCAGCCCTAAATGGCAATAACACAGGAATAAGATGAACACTTTTAACCAGTCTTGAAGACGTTGACTACCCAGATGACTTATAACTTACTATCACATCTGGAAAAGCATATGCAAAGTAAAACATCAAAATTACAGAGAAATGCAGAAAAAAATGGATTAAAAATTAAGACCAGGAAAACTGAAGTTATGCCATTAAACACCAAACAACCAGCAAGAATACAGGTTGATGGAAATGATCTGAGCAACACAACAAAATTTACCTATCTTGACAGCATAGTAACATCAGATGAGGGTGCGGACAAAGCTATAAAGGCCAGACTAAGTTAAGATAGGGGTGCCTTCATCAGCCTCAAGAGCATCTGGAAAACAAATGACATAAACGGAAGGACAAAAATAAGAATATATAACATCTGCGTCCTGTCTGTCCTACTCTATGGAGCAGAATGCTAAAGAATGACAGAAGGAGACATAAGCAAACTTTCTAGTTTCCACAATGGCTGCCTCAAAGAGAACATGAAGATTTTCTGGCCAAATAAAATTACCTATGTGGAACTCCATGAGAAGCCCACACAGACAACA